GCGCCCGCGTCCCTGCCTGCATCCTCCGCGGCTTTGCTCCACGTCTCCCTGGACAGCCCAGACTTAGTAGGGCTCCCCCCAGCAGACCAGGGAGATGCGGAGCAAAGCCACGGAGGATGCGGGCAGCGGGACCGTGGCACGTCTGGGTGGTCCCGCCGCCCACATCCTCCACGGCTTTGCTCCGCGTCTCCCTGGTCTGCAGCTTTTCTTGCCACGGAGAACGCGGGCGGCGGGACCGCGGCGCGTCTGGGCGGTCCCACCGCCCGTGTCCTCCGGGGCGAGAAAAGGCCTGTTTGTAAGTACGGATCTGACATAAGTCGGATCCGCGTAACCCGGGGACTACCTGTACTTTCGTGGTGTGGCTTCCAAAGCATTTTTTAATGTTCACTTGTAAGAGAGTAATATTAGGAATTTGAAAGCTACAGAGGCTGTGCAAATCAAATTTTTCAGATCAGACGGTGGCACAATTTGCAGCATGAAGCTCTTATGATCCGATCAAGGCGCGTTCGGTAGGTAAAACACACTGTAACAGGTAAGGAGAGCAGCTTTGGGCAGAGTATATACTGGAATTTCATGTAACCAGGAAAACAAAACAACTCTAATTGGTTTGCAATTTGAGAATGAAGCATGAAAAACCTGAAGGGAGCAGCAGTCCCTGGTGCATGACAAGCATAACCTCATAATTTCAGTATCCCTGAGGTGAAATCAAAATGCATTTAACAGCCAGAAAGATCCTCCACAGCCACACTGACAGGGGGTGGGGCTTATGGTTAGGGCTCTAATATGGTTAGGTTGGGGTGTACATATTTTCCCATTTCTTATTCTGGGTGACAGAGCGTTACCAGAAGCTGTTCTCACTGCATGAAAAATAGCATCTTTCCATCATTTTCTGACCCTCCTGGAGTAGCACTGATTAGTGAATTTTGATTATCCATGGCCAGAGTTGACTGTTCATAGGGGAAACTGTCTCATCTATTCCCTCTTCCTGCAAGTCTCCTCAAATTTCTGTATGGACTGTTTAAGAACTGGCCCCTTAAAGTAAACACTGCTTGTATTTATCGTGGTCTTAGGCAGGCCAGTGAATGGTTGGGGATTTTTTTTTTCAATTCTGGACTCCACAGTCTCTGCTGCACAGCTCAATAAGAATGGATTATTAATGGCAGTTCTGTGTAGCTCACGAGCAAAACAGTTCCCCTTTAAGATTCTGCTGCCACACCAATTCAGCTGCTGTATTTAGAGACAAAGCCACAGGTATACCAGATTGTCTGTGCTTCCCTTCTCTTGTTTTTATCACTGAGGACACTTGTGGGAAAACAAGAGCTCGGTTTCTGTCGGGTTCATTTATCCCAGTGCTAGTTCTCCCACTGAAGTCATAATCCTCTCTAATCCTTGGAGGCATCACAATGATTGCTGGAGACATCATGACCAAGTCAGAAGGAAGATGATAACTGCAAGCGGGGAATCCATGGCAGGTAGTGGGCCTGGTCGTACATTTCTTGAACATACAGAGTGCCACAAGGTGTTCACTTGTAAAAAAGCAGCCTGGTCATCTCAAGATATTTATAGAGCACTTTTCATTTTCAAAGCACTGACTAATGAATCCTAACCACTATGTCATCAGTAACTGAAATGAACCCATTTTACAGATGGGGGGATGCTGAAGTGAATGGAATTGCTCAAAGCTAGTCCCAGAAGCAGGATTAAGATTCAGCAATTTACGGTTCCCCGGTCATTCAGCCAGGCCTCTCTCTCACCAACGGCTATAGTAAGAGGAAACAAATGGAGATGACCTTGTGAAATTATGTCACTTGAGGCACTGGAGTCAACATACCTTAAATCACCATCCACACAGGGGCTCCCATCGACTTCCCTTATTCCTTGTGAAGAACAGGAGTCCCAGCTCCAAAGGGGGCTCCCTCTCAGTCGAATTAGCGGGTCTTCACTAGACTCACATAAACGAATCCTGGAAGATGGACCACGGCAGCATCGATCTTCTGTGTAGTGTATATTCGGCTGTAGGGAAGCACAGACAATCTGGTATAGAATGTCTTTCTGATTCTATTGATTGTTGTGTCATTTGAAGTGGCAACAAAGCAACCATGTGAAATGTTGTCTCTAGCCAAGTGGACAAGGGAGATACACATTCATTAAACTAGGCAGTAGCCACAACCAAAAAAAGTCTACTACATCACCAGCAACTTACATTTGAATGATACCTAGTTCAACTCCTAGTGCATAGCTACCAGACTGTAAGCCCAGAAAAAGTCTTCAGTACCAGTTAGTAACTTTCCTTTGAGAATATGGAGTCCTGAAGGAGTTTCTGTGAGGTTCACCAGTTCTCTCTAAGGAAATTATTGGACAAGACAAAACAATACAATCAAAAGCCATAAGAGAATCCTAAAGGAGTTTCTGTGAGGTTCACCAGTCTAAGGAAATTCTTGGACAAGACAAAACAATACAATCAAAAGCCATAAGAGATTTTCATGCAATTGTGATGGTGTTTGACATCTATTGGATTTCTCTCATAACCTTAGCTGTCCTAGGAAAAATACTCAGTTTCTTTTAAAAATGTGGACACTTAATTCTCTTAAAGCTAAGACTTGCACTCTACCCTAAAGGCTATTTAACAATGCTCAGTTCCACTTGGCATTATTTAACAGAGCTGTTCAAGATGGCATCTTGTCTGAAGATAGCGCAAACCTGTGAAAGAGGCTTACTGTTTATATGCAGGCACCCAGGAAGGATTGAGAAAAGGGAAGCTAGTTCACGCGGATACTGAAGCTGGAGGTTGAAGTCCTGCTTGCTGCATTAAGCGCTGACCTATATAGCCATCAGAAAAATGATATCAAGGGTATTGCATACATTGATCTCCTCAGCCCTCGTCTCCATGGTCACTGACACAGCGCTTGCAGGTGCAGCCCTGTTTCCTGTAGCTTGGTTACTTTTCTTTGTTTAATTGCCTTAGTGCCAGTCTTCCACTTGCCCGCCCTGCAGCTGCTACGAGAACCCTCCCCTTTCCTGACTGGAGCTGCTTACTGGCTTCCCAACTTTCCTGACCATCTTGCCACTGGTGACTTTGTGGTGCACAGACATATACCTACCCTCGTGCCATGCATACAGGTAGGCCCAAAGGATAGTTGTCCCAGGACACTGATCTCCTTGCCTCAATTTCTGGCCATCCTTCAAAGACTTTACTACATGCTCAGAGGCTAGAGCAGAAAATATTACCGAGCAGTGGACATCTCTTTTTGCTCCTTCCCAGCCCTGTCTTTTCCCTTCTTTAATCACCGCTGCATTTCATCAGAATTATTTGGTTTTAAATGCCTCCTACCTACTTCACTTCCAGACCCACAAAGAAAAACCCCATGTAGTTCTCTCACAATCCCCACGTTCTCATGCAAACTCATCGATTCACACAAACTCATGCTCATCCCCAAGCATTTGTACACAAAGCAGCTAAGCATGAACATTCGCATACTCGGGAATAAAAGGGGCGTGAACGTACTTGAACCGAGATGCAATTTCCAGCTTGCAAAATGATCACAAATGTTTGTTGTCACTGTTCAACCAGCTGTTGTAATAGCTCTGCCTGCAATAAGATTCAATAATAACTAAGAAATGTTACACAAACCTCATATAAAATGCTTCAATTCAAACAAACCATTAAATCCACAAAATGGATGTTCAAAAACTTTGCGGAGTTTTATTTTTATTCATTCACTTAAAAAAAAATCATATTTTGTCTTTTGTACCAGACATACAGGGAGAGTGCTACATAATCTTTGGGTTCATCTGTCTGACAATTAACTATCTAATTAATTAATAATCTGATAATTAAAATGACCTCTTTTTGGCTGATACCCGATCGGAGAAAGGTTCAAAAGAAACTTGACACATCATGTTTTGTGTCATGTTCCAGCGTGAGCCACAACAGGCATGTTATGTTATGTCACAGCTGGTTTTCCGAGACCAAATGAATCAAGATATAAATTAAAGGAGAAAACCAGTTATACAGAGTTAACGTGTGGGTCTCTCTGGTCTGAAACCTGGCAGCATCTAGGAGACAGAGAATTTCAGCAACATCAATAAGGTGTCACTGAACTTGGAATGGCAAGTGTTCAAGATATTGTTGGCTCCATCTCCATCAGTTTGAGGACACCACAATGTGAAAGCACATGATCTCCATGCACACTGTGCTGTAGAGGGGAATCAAAATGGAGGCTAAAGACTGCAGAAATAGGGATAAATTGGGAGAAGGGTAAAGCAAGGGCCCTAAAGAAATGCTCCCCCTCTAACGGGGTGCTTATGTACACTGAGAATGGGAAAGCACAAGGTTTGGGCTAGGAAAGGCAGCTCTGTAGCTTTTCTGTGTTACACCTGCTATCTCCTTCCTTGGGGCTCCGAACTTCAGTCCAGTAAGAGATGCAACAAGTTCAACCTTTCACGGCTTTTCCTAAGGATTTGCCCCACTGGTGGGATTTCAGAAAAGGACCGAAGTTTGTATGTATTTAAAGGTAGTATCCACGCAACTCATGCTGATTACATTTGCATGACATAGCCTCTGGGTCTAGACAGAGCAACCAATCTGAAACTGCTCCACTCCAAAAAAGGAGCAAGAAACCAGAGCCTAATGGATCTGAGGCTACTCCCTGAGCAATTTCCCTGTCAAGCGAGAGGGAAACAGCAAATTGGATCTGTGTGTATCTAGTTCGTTTTGGTTTTTTATGGCCTATTGCTGGAGATGGCTGGTATTAGTAAATTGATATCAAATCAATTAACTGAGGGTCTGAGGCTTGATCCTTAAATTAACTGTTTGTTTAGATTTGTGTTCTGCTATTTTATCAATTTTCAGCGTATTGCTGCTGCCAAATGGATTATTGTAAATTCAGGGAGAAAACAGATTGTGTATGTATGAGACTCACTGAACAATCCATAATGGTGGAGTACAGTCTTACTCTACTCTACTCACAATGGTAGGAACCGGGAGTAGGCCCACTGAACTCAGTAGAGTTAACTGGCCAGAGGAGAAGTGCGTTTATTTTAGACCAACTCTGAATAGAAGCTTTTGTAAATCATGAATTACCAGTAAAGCAGGCAGCTCGGGTTTAGGAACAGAAGATCCGCATAGCTATAATAGATATGCTGGATCATTTATAAGTTGTGGGTGACACTGGTTCCTTCCCATGGGGATATTGGTTTTCTGTATATAATTAATAACAAGAAAACTGTATCCTGAGTGTAGGGTCCACATGAGCATCCTGGAACAAAAAGGGCCATAAATTAACATCAATTATGTATTAAAGTTCCAATTAACCTGGCTGACACTGATATACTTTAACAAGGTACACTTAGATAAAAGAAGCAACTCTCTAATTACTTGGAACGGGACCTCCTGACCCATTCTACTCTTTTATCCCAACACCAATCTAATGAGGAAGGAAGTGAGAGATAGGAAACTGTGCATAAGGCGAGACTACAGCACCACAAGATGCCCCCCGGGAAATGCTTTTACCTTCTTAAAACTGTCAATGATGAATATTTTATTGCTCTGAGCCTTTTAACCCTTTGAGGAAGAAATTTCTTTTAAGGATGATACAGTATTGCTTGCATCCATTTTAATGCTGAGGCTGCCGTCTCTTTCACATACCAACCATACATCACTCTTCCTCCCCTCGCCCCTCCAACCACCACCACCACAAGCACACATTTCCAAAGTATTCATGTCCAGGGTACCTAGACACCCTTACATAGATTTAAAATGTGTACTCTTAGTCCCCATGGGGGAAAAAAGAAAACAAGGCACAGCAGACTTCAAACAAAAACAATAGCGTTGATATATTCTGCAGTATTAGAATTGTGACAAAACTTAAGGACCAAACAAAAAGTTGTATATGTGTAAAATATAAATAATTGGTGAGGGACAGTCTACATTGAGAAAGATGATTTAATCTGTTAAATACATATGGGATCTAAAAATCAAGTACCTTATTTTTTTTTACTACATTCTGTGAAACAGATGATGCAATAATTTCAGTATCCTGAAGCAAAAATAATTTTTTTTAAGTTAAACATGACGAAAACCTATTTATTGGCACTGTCTAAAAATAAAATAAAAAAGGCTCTGGCAGAGATGCTAAGTGTGTAATTATAGTAGGAAAGAATCAGGTAAAAGTACATTCTGAAAATATGATTTAGTTAATAGTTTTATTAAATTCTTCTCCAGTGTTTTTACCTTTTACTCCACCTCCTAAGTGGATAAAGAGCAAAGAGGATTTTATAAGTTACCATTTGAAACTCTGATCTACTTTGGAGAGTCCCCCCCCCTCACTTCTTGCCCCCTCCCCAAAATAGCAACAGGGATTTCTGTAATTGGGATTTTGGAAAGAATGGCTTGTTTGTGCCAAGTGATCCATTCCTAGCTTTAAGTGCTGTATTTGTCAGTTACATTCAAGAGTACTGTAAGTCATTCAGGAAGCATGGAGGTATTTTCAATTGTTCTTGTTTTGCCAGGACAGAATCAGCATTTCGGTACCTGCTGGTGTCTCATAAGGTTCACAGTTGATTTCCCACGATCCACAAACCCAACCTGTGTCTTCTGGGAGAAAAGGGATAAGTTGATTCCATCAAAAGCACCTCCTAATTATAGTCTCAGTCTTCAAAACTCAAAGGGAAAAATACACTAGACGGGAGGGTCTCAGCTGTACATGCCTGTGGAGAAAGCTCCCCACACTCAGTTCTCAGCAGTCAAAGAACATTTCACATGGAGAATGTCAGGGATGTCAGAGTTTAAGTTTAAATTCTTGAGTCATGCTCTTTCCTACATGCTCTTTTCCCGTGCACAGGGGAAGGCCACTTTGCATTGCTGTAGTCCTGAGATACGGATCAGGGCTTTAGTTCCCTTGAATGGTGTTTCAAACCTATGATTGTCAGGGCTCAACTGGACTACTGGAAGCTACGGAAGCAGTGGACAGAACACTGTCCTTATAACAGGCTCCCTGATGAGATGGTCAGTACTTCCTTGGTTGAATTAGACACACTGTAGTAGCCAGCTCCCTCCCAATCTTGGGGTACCTCCCCAAACCATCCAGCACACCAGGAAATGTACCAGTAGGAAGAGAGAAATACAGATCTAGTCAGTTCTGATGCAGGTTTTCAGCCACTTTTTATTTGTCCCAAAGGAGTTGTTTTTACCCCATCCCCTAAGCCCTTGTAAGTGGATAAAGAGCAGAGAGGGTTTTATAACTTACCATTTGTGATTCCCTCCATATTTCTCAGTTTCTGGAGCATATGCTGTATAAAACTGGTAAGCAAGAGCTTTGTGGGATGCAGCTGAAAGTGAGCTTCTAGAATCGAATCCCGCCCTTAGTTATGCCTTCAACTACCCCCA